TACCAAAAAATAATGCAGCACGAAACTCGCAATGAGGGTAGTAATTACTGTATTGGCTAGTGACAGAAAATTCCATGTACAAAATCATGAGTGTTAAATAAAAATTATAAGCATAATAAATCTGTGAGGCTATTAACTGCTAATGGTTAGCATACATAAACCAATCATTACATAATGTCAGGAAATCTTTCAAAGTCTAAATTAAATAAGACTCTTCACAATAAAATGAGACAGAATAAAAACTTAAACACATTTCATATGATAAATTGCTAATTTTATACATAGGGAATAAAAATTTTGATGAGAAGAATCAGTAGAAATCTAAATATACAGGATGTTACATATTCATGCATTGGAAATTCAGTGACTTTTAAGTCAGTAGTTTTATGTGCAACAACGTTTTGTTTTGTTTTTTTCCAGTACAATTCCTATCAGAGTCCCAGAAGGCCAATTCAAAACTCTGTCAAAATTCAATAGATTTTTTGAAAATTAAATTGTTGAGGACTGATACTACCAGATTTCAAAACCCAATACACAACTGCACTAAAAAAAAGGTAGTCATATTTTCAGGTTCAGCACACTAAGCTGCAAATTTAATGTTTTTCAAGTAAGCTCAACAGACTTCTGTTGTGTAGATATCACATTTTTACTATCCATTTATTAGTTAAAGGGCATTTAGGCTGTTTCCACTTCTTGGCTACTGTGAATATAGTGGTAATGAACAAGGCTGAGGTAGCATTTGTATAGCAGGATGCCAAGTCTTTTGGAAATATGCCAGTGAGTTGTATATCTGACTCAAATAGTAGGTCTAATTTTAGCTTTTTGAGAATTCTCATTACCTACTTCTGCAGTGGTTGTCACAGTTTTCAATATTTAATAATGTATATACACATATATACTCACATGCTCACACATTATATATATATGTATATATATGTATATTTTCATGTGTGCATGCAATAATAGTGAAAAGAGAAACTATGAATTTTAAGACAGTGGGGAAGCCGAGGGCTGATATTTTTCAATGCATTTTTTTCTACTCACACAGCAAATCATAAGAATGCGAAGTGACAGATATTAGCAAAGAAACATAAAATTTCCTGCACTATGAGTTATAAAAGCTTTTGGAAAGCAGATTCTATGTGGTGTAAATTTTTAAAAAACATGGACAAAGCATATCTGTTGTATTTATATTGCTTTTTAACTATTTCTGTAATGTCTGTAATACAGTGTTGGCCCTCAGAAATTTAGGTTTCGAAAGCCATTTATCATCTCTACTATTCCTGGAAGCTTCAAAGAGCCTCTGTTAGTACATATTACAACTGTGCATATATTCTGTGTTATCTGTGTTATTAAAAGAGGATTAGAATATTTATTACTTTTTTTGAAATAATAAAACCATTCTACATTAACTACATTAATATATTTAATAAAATTCTTTTACTGATAGTGAATGGTTCATCTTGTTTCCATTCTTCAAATATGCTTCTCTGAGACTTAACAAAAAAGAGCTGAGTTCTCATGCTTGTTTTCTTTTGCAGACTCCCGTGATTCCACATGGTAGGCAGCCTTCAAAAACCATTAGATATTCTCCAAGAATGAGAAGCATAAAGGCCAACCCATGTTAGTATCACGCTGGGAGCAGTTTTGAGTTGGAGGATCAACAAAACATTATGGGACTATTGGAAGGTTCCATCGTCCATATTTTGAGATATATTTGACAAGGGAAATGCCATTAACTTATTTCCTCTTTTGTTTTTGTCATTGTTTCTGTTTCCTATAAATAAGAAAGATTTTTCTTCCATTTAATAATTGTCTATATTTATAATAGTTTTATAAATATTTTATTCAATTCTCAGCTATATAGGTCTGATAAGAGTTTGTGAAAGACAGGTAGTATATCTACTTTAAACAAGTTTGGGTAACCAAAATGAAAACATATTGATGGCTTATTTTCTCCCTTGTTTGGGAGAATGGGTATGCTACATTTTATTCTTCACTTTTTCATTGCTCACATCCTTAGGATAGGAGGTACCTACCAGTTTTGCACGGGCTTTTTATTAATGAGGAAGCTACCATTCACATTATTTATCCCAAACCATGAGAAACTAGTAGGGATGGAAAGTTTGCTGTGGAAATTTTTATATGTATAGGAAATGACCAGACTAAAGCAAATAGTTTATCACAATACAGTTCAAATTCTAGCTCTCACAATCATAAAATCATGGTCAATTTTGTTTTCTTTATACTTCCCAGTTAGTTTTAAAGCAAATTTTATATATGTATCATTATTTGTAAATATTTTAGTATGCATCTCAAAAAGATATATTCAATTATGATTAAAGCTAATAAAAACACATATTTTTGAAAATTCTCTTAGAATAAATTCAAAACAATCCCACATTAACATAATAGTGCAGCTAATTGCTTCCTTCGGTCATTAAATACAAATAAAAAAATGTTATACATGATAAAAGCTATTTTATCTGTCAAAAAGATTTACTAAAATAAAAATGTGAACACAAAGTCATATTCCTAATATAATTAATAAATAGTGAGTATCCACAAAACTGTCATAAATCAAAGCAAGCTTGGTTTTGGCACCATATAAGACAAGGTAAAGTCAAACATGACTGCTCTGTTGGAGGTTGTGCGTACAGTAGATGCTTTACAAAGACTTACGTTTGACTCCTTATTCATAGACTCATATACTTAAAACAATGTATATTTCTAAGGATTTAGTGATAATACTACAGATTGTTTTAATATATTTTATGTTGTGTGGAACTGTGTTCTCTAAGAATAAACAAACTATACATTTAGTAGTAACCATTGAAGTGTGCATAAAAATGGCAAATAGTTTATTATTTTAGGAAGATAATAAAATAAAAGGAGACTTGGAGATAATATGTGCACTTGCTAGAAAAATTAGTTTCCAAAATAATAATTCTCTTCTTTTGTTAAAAAAATTAAAGGAAATGAATATATTTTTGAGAGTTAAATATTTATAACAGTAAATTAGTAGCGTTTGTTTTCATTATTTTTGTAGTTTAGTCATTTTCTTGTTCAAGTACAACAATAATAAGGTAGAAGAAAATAAGGCAGAGAGGAAAATCTTTTAATATCCAGCAAAAATGATGACATGAGTAGACAGATACGTTGATATATAGCCTGTTGATTTAGGGGAAATGGTTTAAAATTCCTAAAATATATCCTACAAAAATAATTTCAGCATTACCATAACATATTATGCCATTTTGATTTATGTTATAGAAGTAACTGCAATAATTTTCATCAAGGAACAACTTCCACAAAACTACCCTAGAAACACTAATTTGTCTCAATATATAAACATTTTCTAAAAAAATGAAAATCAAATCTAAGCAGACAATACAAGTATAGAATGGATTTTATAAGAATGAAATGATTAAAAAAAGCACTTAAATATTTAAATATTTAAATTTAAATATTTTCTCTTGTATTTTCAATTTGAACAACAACATAGTATTTATAAATATTCTATATGTAATATATTATAGTATATTTGAATCCTTTTTCTTTGGTAAAAGAAAACAATTTTAACAACGAAACATTAGATTCCCAAGTGATGAGTCTTCTGTGAAAATAGAGAGCAAGCCATCCCTCTCCATTGCACAACCATGCTTCAAAGTCTGAAATAGCAGTTGCAGCTGAGAGACCAAGTACTTTCCAAAATCAACATAAAAAAGAAGTATGTTAGGCCACAGAGGAGGACTTTGCAGCCAGCCCTGAAGATACCTGATAAAACAGGGTCAGATGAAAGGGGAGGAGGTCCTCCCCTATCAGTGGACTTGGAAAGGGGCAGGGAGGAGACCAGGGAGGGAGTGTGGGGTTGGGGAGGGAATGAGGGAGCGGGATACAGCTGGGACACAGAGTTAACAAAATGTAACTAAAAAGAAAAAAATAATAATAAAAATAATAATAATAATAAAAAAGAAGTATATCCACCATGTTGCATCTGCCTCTTAAACCGAGCCCACAACAATACCCTTAAAATTTGCCAGTATTTTCTATTTATATTCGTTGGATCTGAAAAACAGATTATGCACAGCAATTGAGAAAAATACAAGAACTACGCAGGGTATATTTTGTCAACTTAAGAATTTCATCTCATCTCAGACTACAAATAATGAAAATCTCATTTGTAATATGAAAATTTCATAAATTTTCAAGGGTTTCAGGCTCTTGAAATTAAAAATAATTATAGAAATTTTTTATGCTGGATGAAATGCAGGAACCATAACAATGAAATACAATGTTAGATCCTAGATTGTATCTTGAGGAGGTAAATAAAACAAATGATTAGTGGAAAAACTCAAAATTTGGGTAAGACTTAGAATTGTTTTACTATCATATCATGTTGACTTCTTTTATTTTGTCAATTTTGTTTAGATTTATGTCAGTATTAGAAAATTTAGCAAAAAAGAAAGGGCAACACAGCAATCTGTGCCATTTTCTGGAAGTCCATGATTACGCCAATATAAGAAGCTTAGAGAGTCTATTATCAGCTTTAATCTATAAATAGACATAAGTAATCTGAAAGCTGACCATGACTGACAGTTCTCACCATGGATAAATATAGAGGAATCTGATCCTAAGATCCCAGGCCTCTATTTCCTCTAACCTCAGTGACTATATTAATCATCAGAGCCAAAACACATTGTAATGTGGTGACAATGATACTCCCCGAAGCAGTAACTACGAGTCCTGCCAAATCATGCACTGTTAGAGACACAGATCATAAAGAAAGGATATGTAACATGTAGTGACTCTTCGTGCAAAAATCATGTCCTTAATGTTTTTTTGTTTTGAAATAAATAGCCTGCTATTTTGGACATGTTCTAAAACAGATGTAAAAGGTCGTTTTCTAAAATTTAATGAGTCATTTAAACTGAAATACAAATACATATGTCAATAAGACATCAGAATTGAAAATTAGCAGATAGTTCAGTGTGTTTTACCTGAAACTGTGTGATCCTTAGTGTCTCTGGTTATTTTTATCCTTGCATGAGGAAAGATGTAGTGCATTGTCTTCCCATTCATCTGCAGAATCTAGGACATACAAGGGATTATGTAAAAAAACAATCAGTAATACAACCCCTTGAAATACTTCATGCAGAACTACAGTTGCTCAATTCAAAGCTCACCAATTAAATCAATAAAAAGATGCCAGAGATGCTTGAATAATGACACTGGAGGAATTTACAATGACACCCCATAATGATTAAGTTTGTTTCTGAGTTCATTATGGTATTTCATTTATAACCAATCACTCTTGAAGACTGGCTAGTTTTCTTTGAGATTTTTTTTTTAATTTTTTATTAATTATTTTTATTTTTTATTAATTACACTTTATTCACTTTGTATCCCCCCATAAGCCGCTCCTTCCTCCCTTCCCGGGCCCACCCTCCCTCCCCCTTCTTCACCCATGTCCCTCCTCAGGTCCACTGATAGGGGAGGTCCTCCTCTCCTTCCTTCTGATCTTAGTCTATCAGATCTCATCAGGAGTGGCTACATTGTCATCTTCTGTGGCCTGGTAAGGCTGCTCCCCCCTCAGGGGGAGGTGATCAAAGAGGGCCAATCAGATTATGTCAGAGGCAGTCCCTCTTCCCATCACTATGAAACCCATTTGGACACTAAACTGCCATGGGCTACATCTGTGCAGCGGTTCTAGGTTATCTCCATGTATGGTACTTGGTTGGAGTATGAGTCTCTGGGAAGACCCCTGTGTTCAAATTGTCTGGTTCTGTTGCTCTCCTTGTGGAGTTCCTGTACTCTCCAGATCTTACTATTTCCCATTTCTTACATAAGATTCATGCATGTGACAATATTCTAAAGTTTTAATAATTAAGTAAGACTAGTGGGGAAAACACAGAGAAGGTCCCATCTTGTCATATTTTTGTCATTCTAACTAGGTCTGTCATATATTTAAGGTGCTTGAATTTTGTGAAATTTTACTGTGGACATCTACTAGATTCATATTCATAACTCATACTAATTCTGTCAAAACCAATAAAGACTTTATACAAGTATTTCTGAGTCTGTTTTTATATCCAAAGGTTATGATACTGATGGAGCTATTTCTTGTTACTACAGGAATTCCTAAAGCAGAAGAGGTAAAACTAACGCTCTTGTGCCTGTAATGCCCACACTATTTCATAACTAGACTTTGTTTTAACAGTATACATTATTCTGTAAAATGTTGTAGTCTACCTCGCTCTTATTTAAATGATTTTATAATCTCATGTAGGTTTAATGACTGTTTTAAAGTCACTGACCCGGCTGGTCAAAAACAAGCTAAGGCAACACTATTTTGCGTTTAGGGTTTCTTCCCAATTTCTAGATTTGTTACTGCAGATGTAATCTCATAGTGCACAGACTGCAGTTTTCAAGAGTAGGCAAGCTTCTTGGCGTGTTCATGGGAGTTTTATCAGTGAATTATTGTCAGGTTTTAATCAATATCTGTGCCATTGGGTTACTGAATATCTTCATTTACATGATTTTTTTTCTTTAGAATATCTCCCTACAATTCCCACAGCTTTTAAGACTTTGTAACCTGCATCATGAGCTCACTTACTAAAATGTTATATTTCTATAGCTATGACTGATATGGATGGGCCAATAGCAAGCAGAATGACAATTGTAGGTAAATACCGACAGCCTTCTAGAAAATAGGCTACAGGACACCTGTTTTGTTTTATTTTATTTTTAACCAGCATTAGTAAGAGATACACCAAGGTGCTAGTCTCTGTTGCCATTGGTCTTTTGAAGATTTCTATATCAAAATGTTGTCACCTACATGTATCAAAGAACATGCATTGTTTTTCTTTAATAACCATAAATATTTTCATGAGCTGAGTCTACATATGTATCATGTAGTTAAGTTTGCATTAGCACAATTTTTATTTACGCATTCACCCACTTTGGTTAGCACAAAGGCTTGCTATGGAAGACAGATGCCTCACTGCGTCTCAGCACAGTGCTGGATACTGCACACTTACACATTAGGGAGTGTAAGGCCTCTGAGAGCTGTTATGTTCTATATATTCATGGCCAAAGACATAATTCATGGTTTATCCCAAAGCACGAGGGAAACAGACTTTTCTAGTTTTGTAGCAAGATGGTACTGATAGTATCAGAGATGTCTTATTGCAAGAAGGGGTTCATTCATGACAGGCTGAGTGACCAGTATGCTTAGCAAAGAGACCAGAATCTAGAGAGAGAAAACTGTTCGGACACAAATAAAAGAAAAAAAAAAAAAACCCAGCTCCTTCAGAGGAGGCTATTATATCCTAAGGCAGAAGCTGCAGAGAGTTTCCAGATGACACTAGCTTTACTGTCCAAAGTGGGAAATATTATCACAGACAACATATGGTAACTCCTTACAGCACTCAGGTAAAAGAGATCGACCCTCTTCATGAAAAAAACAAAAACAAAACAACAACAACAAAAACCAACAAAAACTTAAAAACAAATAAGTTTAGATGGGCCTATTCATTTAGCAATGAATTTGGATTTCTCTACTATAATGCCAATATGTGCAAACATTAAATGTACAAATTTGAAAGGAAATAAAAACTGATTTGGTAAATTCATAGTTAGTATGATTGTATACCAAATATTTTTTCAGAAGTAATCCTGTATCCATTTAGTGTTTTGTGCACAATATTTTACAGAAGATAAATTCATGTTTGAGTTCTTCAATTAAATTTTATACTCTTTTCCCCTAGAGCACTTCATGAGAATAAACTCTTGTTGTACATGCTTTCAAGTAACAGCATCTTTGTTTATTGGTACCAAGAACTCAGTATTACCTTTTATTATCAGACATGCAAAGAAAGTGAATAAAATTCAAATTCCATTTTGTTATCCTCTAGACCAAAATAAAGTTCTTGAGTTAAAGATGAAAGCAATATTTTCAGATAAATATGCAGGAAATGCAGGAAAGCATGAACATTAAAATTTAAAACATTAAATTTAATATTCACATTAAAATAAAAAGCATAAACATTAAAATTAATGTAATTAAACTTTGGAAAATTATGCATTTAAGGCATATGATATCTTCTATATAGAACCAATTTTTAGAAAACATATAAAGAAAAGCAAATTATTGCCATAACAATCAATATTTCTGTTACTTTTGAAAGGAGAGGCTGCAATCCAAAAGGTTCATGCAGGTCTCTGGGGCAGGCCATATTCTCTATCTTGGCTTTTGGGTACTTGTATGGCTCTCACTTTATAGTAATTTATAACTTTATGCCTTTTTCCTTTTGATCAGTACATCTTGTTTTATAGTTTAATGGATATTAATGCAAAGGTTCATTTTTTTAAATGTATTATGATTGTTACATTCACCTAACCAGGATCTTTATTCTCCTATTTATTGAACTCGTCAGATTTTATGAAACAAACTTCAATAAACCCTACCTTCCTTATTGGCATTATACTTGTCTGTAACTCCATATTTAAGATATAATGTACTATGTACTCAATCAAAGTCATTGATCTACCTCGTTTTTAATTGCTGAGAAGTATTCCATTATATAAAAATACCCCAAATTCTGTATCCATTCCTCCATTGATGGATATCTGGGTTGTTTCCAGGTTCTGGCTATTACAAATAAAGCTGCTACAAACATGGTTGAACAAATGTCCTTGTTGTGTACTTGAGCATATTTTAGATATATGCCTACAAATGGTATAGCTGGATCTCAAGGAAGCACTATTCCTGTAAATTCAGTACTGAAGACAATATATCCATATAATAAATATGGATTACTTGAATGAATCATTTAAATTGTCTGGTAGAAGAATCACAGTGCCCATCAAACTGTTTAAATAAAGTACTTTCTCCATTAAATTACTGAAAGAAAACAGTCTTGAACTTAACTCTGTTAGAACTGACCCTGTTGCTTACAAATATGAAAGAGAATAAATTTTCAGACTTACTTGCTCTTGATGTTGACTTAGCGGTCTGGAGTGAACCAATCTTTCTGGCAGTTTCCGATCCAGACCATGGCCATTTTCCAACCGAGATTCCCTGGGTTTATCAAACCAATCCGTTTCCTCCCGACGCAAGTGATAGGCTTTGGGGACCAAGGAAACATCATACATTGCAACCGCAACTAATACAGGTGATAGAGGGAAGCAAATATTCTGCAGTATTAGCATGCACTGGGCTTGTTGACCACAGCATGCATTTCACACATAACTCCCATCAGATACTATTTTCAATAGTATCTACAGATTTTCATACAACAGAATAACCTAGAGAAAGAGAGGTACACATATGCACAACATCTCATAGTAAAATAAAATAACCCACAAAATTACATTTTAATCAACATAAATGAAATTTAGATGACAATCAATAAACAAAAGTATTTAAGAATAATTTCATTCAACTTAAGTCATCAGTTCCCACACAAACCTTACCCTACAAATGACCATGTATGATCAAAAGACAACAGGAAATGCTCTATGTTCATATGCAAGTTTCTTTTAACTTTCCAATTTTGTATAAATCAAATAGAAGTATATGGCTAATTTTCTACTTTTGTATAAGTCAAGCAGCAATATATAGATACTAGCTTCAACACTGAATGAATATATTTTTGAAAACATGACATTTATTTGACAATTGTAAGTAAACGAAAGCATTTCTAAGATACACTTTGTCCTTGCTAGAAACATAGAAACATGTGCATTACACAAACTTTATAGCTTAATAATAAAAATATATCTTAATCAGTATGTGTATGAGAGAATTGTTAAAATAAACAAAATCATTATCTGAATTTTAACACCAACTTATAAATTTGACAATTAGTTTTTAATTAACTTAACACCATGATACTACTTGATAGCATTTTGAATACTTAATCATATTTAAAGCACTCAAATACTAATTTAAATTTTTCGTCTAGTTCTATCAGTACTTTCCAGGTTTATTAAGGGTATTTCAAAGTAACTAAAACTAACTCTTACTCAATGGCTAAAACTGCATTTAGTATACATTCCTTATTCTTATTATTCCTTGGTTATATTCTTGGTCCCAGTTAACAGCCTTTAGAAACAATACATTGCTGTTTCTCAAATGGCAGATGGAAGGACTTGTCCTCTTGCTCACCCTGATAGATGATGATTTCAATATTATTTTCTTAAAATGGCAGTTTCTAAAATGTCACATAATGGACACTACTTATCTTGTAAAAATTGTCTCTTTAGGTCTACCTTATCCTCTAAAAATTTCTCCAGAGACTGTGATTTCTGTCATTTATTGGCTTGTAGGATAACACAAGCAGTGTATGTTGTATCACTCACTGCATCCGTGTATTCTTGCATACCATGTTTCTCAACCAACAATTTCTCCCACAGACATGGAATATCACAGTTTCTCCAACTTTAGATATGATATCTGTATTGTGGCTACAAATACACTTAATTGATTTGCCCATTATATTAGCAGCTACTAGAAGAGGAAATTTTTATGTCTTTTTCATATTTCCATTTTCTCCTTCTTATATGAAACATAGTGTTTCCTAAATTTTTGTGGAATGAATTGATGATACAGGCATTTATCATAATCTAAATAAAAAGGTAAATATTATGATAGTTTTAAATACATAGCTTGTACTTAAAACTGGTTTTTAGATACACAGTGTTCTTTACACAACCTAGTTGATAATTATTGTGGTAAACCACAGTGCTAATTTGAAGCTCAGTGAATAAATTATTGAGTATAGCAGATACTTGGTAAATAAAGCAATGAACCTATTAGTTATCAGTCTGAGGTTACTAGATTATACCTAACATTCCTTAGGAGGAAATAATTTTATATAAAGATTATGTATATTTATCATATTTTTTTAATTTTTTATTAATTACACTTTAGTCATTTTGTATCCCCCCATAAGCCCCTCCCTCCTCCCCTCCCAATCCCACCCTCCCTCCCCTTTCTGCATGCATGCCACTCCCCAAGTCCACTGATAGGGGAGGTTCTCCTCTCCTTTCTGATCTTAGTCTATCAGTTCTCATCAAAATTGGCTGCATTGTCCTCTACCATGGCCTGGTAAGGCTGCTCCCCCCTCAGGGGGAGGTGATCAAAGAGCAGGCCAATCAGATTATATCAGAGGCAGTCCCTCTTCCCATTACTATGTAACCCACTTGGACACTGAACTGCCATGGGCTACATCTGTGCAGGAGTTCTAGGTTATCTCCACGAATAGTCCTTGGTTGGAGTATGAGTCTCTGGGAAGTTCCCTGTGTTCAAATTATCTTGTTCTGTTGCTCTGCTTGTGGAGTTATCATATATTCTTAAAAAGAAATTTTAAAAAGTAATGATTCATCATGTTTTCAATATGTGGTTATCCTGAATTATAAAGAAGATTATTTCATTTGAATATATAATTTTCCTAATTAAATTTTAAATAAAATTGTTTAAAATATGTTTTAAGAAAAAAAAAAATATGTTTTAAGGAACTCTGGATATTTCAAATATGACAAATCTCAAGCTGATCTAATATTTAATCAGTTTATTTTCAATTCTGATGACCTGTTTTGATCTTCTCTTATTTCTAATAATAGTCCCATATATAAATCAATGAAAAAGATAGCCACCATCTTTATAGGAACATAGAGTTGACCTAAAGCAACCAGATTGAGTGACTCTGTGCCTATATCATAGTCTCTTCCTTAGGGATGTCAGATGTGTTGGGTTAGCTTTTTTGATATGTGGGAGTGGAATAATGTTACAAACATATTTTATAAAATGTAACATACCTGTTCCATGCTGATTTAAACAAATTTCTTTGTTTTTATATCACTATAATACTTTATATATTTGCATGATATACAAACAATAAAAATATATAACATTTTAATATGCACATATTTAAAAGATGGCTAGTACAATTCAGTTAGCAATGTGATTCAATTTGTATAGACTTTTATATAATTCTGTATTGATAATTTCTGTGAATGAGTTTATTCTGCTTTGTTTTCTGCTTTGGAATCATCTTTATTTAATACTGTATATGGTACATGTTATCTTATATTCATATATATGATATACATATATATTTCATCAAAATAAAGGTTCAGTTATTGGTAACTATTGCTATATACCAAACTTAGACAAAAAAAATATCAGTTAATTATATATGTACAGAATCAAATAAGTGCCACATTTTGGACTAGTTATAAAAATTACATGTCTAAAATCAAGTTAAAAACTACTTGTAAATTTTTCTAATTAATTGTCATCTATGTGCACAAATCCTTTAGGAATTGATATGTTCTATAGTCCCAGAGTTTTATTTTTATTTTTATAAATAAGGCCATTGAATGGCTTCTTATTCTTTTCATGGTCATTCCAGATGTACAAAATGAATATAAAACATGTACTAGACTAAAAGAACAGCTGTTTCCACATAATGTCATAATTTCTGGAAGGCAAGTAGATTAATTCAAATACTGGCCTAATACAAATATACCCAAATGAAAGTTTTACTTAATTAACAAACTGTCAATAAAAATGGTCAACCAATCAGCTTGAAATAAGAAAAAAACAGGGTAGAACGAAACTTTGTTTTCAGAATTTTCAGAATCAAAGAAAACAATTCATTTGCTTCAGGTCCACAAACCTTTTCAGTTCAGAAAACATCCTTCATCTTTTAAAATCAGATCTTTGTCTACATACAAAACAAAAAGAAAATGCTGTTCATGAAGACACATTTTCATGCGAGGCTTTACTGAGAAAGTTAGATTTAAATGGGAGAATAGTCACATCAGTTTGTATTTTTGAGTATTCAAAAAATGAAATAATAACATTTTAATCATTTAGAAATGTTGTGTTTCCAGGACTTCAACCCAACAAATGTAAAACACAAACCAATAAACAAGTTGGGTACAATGGCTCCTGCCTTTGACACAACTACTTAAGAGCCTGGCATTGGAGGATCATCATAAATCTGAACCTAGCCTGTATAGTGAGTTCCAGGCCAGCATGGGCTACAGAATGATTCTACATAAAAAAAATTTAATAAAGTAAATTACATATATATGCATATATCATATGATTTTGTAATAGATTATATTAGTGAAAGAAAGGTAGTGAAATATCAAAGGAGTAGACTCCAAACAGGTACACTTTGAAAAACAGTATATATATTTTCAGTTTTAAATGGAAAGAATGTTTTATATATACTGAAAATTATTTTCAATACCTCAGTTAGAATTAAATTTTCAAATGCATAACAGCAAATGTACAAATTTTTCAGTAATAGTCTTTATAATAAAGGGAGATGAAACAAATTTATTCAACGATGATGATAAAATTCTGTTATGCTAAAATCAAGCTATTGTAAATGCTCCCCCAAAGAGAATAACCACTGATATTGCAGACAATCATCTCCATTACAAAGTATTACTATGGTTCTAATCCTTAATGATTTTATTAAAATTAAATAAATATATTTTAAGTGCGAAGAAACATACAGTTATGTGATATAAGGATGACCATATTTTATTGATAGAAGTATGCAATAATTGTTTAAAAATCAGACACAAAACAAATTAGACCAACAATCAAGAAACAGAGTAAAATGATAAATTAAAAATAATCAAAGAAAAACATGCCACCGAATCTACACACAAGAAATACACATCCAAGAAATAAAACTGAAATAAACATGCACAAATTTCACCAAGAAAGATGGAATACATCCTTGGAGAAAAAAAAATTAAACATGCAGAAAGATAAGAGTTTGAGTTTTGAGAATAACAAGGTAGTTGGAGGCCCCATTTACCTTCACTGTCAGACATAGCATGTTGGAAGTCATCCATGATGAATGCTATGTCACGGTCATAACCCCGTGTCCGTGACTCTTCTCTCATGTGTTGCTGAACTTCAGGCAATGAGTGACTTGATCCAAACTGATCCCTTGTGTCTGCAGATATTGGGGGCAAGGGGCCAGCTGCAGCCCTGGCCATTCCCATTGGTTGGCCAACGGGACTTAGTGGACTTTCTTCTTCTGAATTCTGGGCCACAATTGGTATTCTTCCTCTACTCTGGCTGATTGGTAAACTGGTGGGCTTAGTTCTTGCAGACGATGATGAATGGCCAAAGGAGACATCCAGAGCTTCGGCCTCTTGAGCTTTCAGTCTCAGTGATGAGCTGGAAGAATCCCTCTTAATTGATAAATCAAGCCCATAGACAGAGGAAGGCCTAGAGGAAGGCCTGGACCTGCTCCCACTGCTGTATGGCTTATCTGCTTCATCCTGTAGAGCTGACCGGATGGTATTTCCTAATGTGCCCAGTCCTGACCCAAGTGAGGAGCCCATAAATTTTTGTTGATCTGTAATATTTTTTCTGAGGCCAAATGTGATATCATCTTGAAGAAGCCTTGCCCTAGAAGAAATACCACCAATAGATGAAGTGCTAGAACTCATATAACTGGGATAATCAGGTTCAAGGTCTCTACTTTCTTGAATAGGTGAAAACTTTGACATTTTAGGGTCAATTAATGATTTCTTATGCTTTGATTGCTTTTGGTAAAGGATGGCTGCTGGCAATTGTTTGGCGGCTTGCTTTTCAAGGGTGAGTCTACTGATGCTATACTTTTCAGATTTGGGAAAGTGTCTATAGCTAGTGTCGGCATGGTAATAATGTGAAAGGCCAGCAAGGTGATCTAGGCTCTCCGTGCCTCTACGGAATTCTTGCTTGATCTGCTGTTTCAGAAGCTTTAACTCATAAGGATCCTCCATCGGGTCCTCCTCTGCTTTCACATAGCTATGCAATCTGGAGGAAGTCTGCAAAGGTGCTAGGAAATCTGTCACTTCTTGAGACCTACGTGTCTCTGTGGTTCTAAGGAGACGATCTGTTTTGGACAGATCCTTTTCATGAAGACTAAATGCAGTGCTCAGTGATGCTGTCCCTTTGGTAATCTCCCCAATGTCATCTATTAGGACATAATTCCTTGAAGTGTGGTGGTCAATATCTGCATAGAAAGAGTCTGCAGATATGGTTGATATTGGACTGCTTGCCATGCTGCTTCTTTCCTCCAAACCAATTCTCAAGTCTAAGCTATTGTACTTACTCCCAAGATGGGAAACAGCATATGTATTATCAGTAGAAACAGGAGCGATCATCAGGGGTTGGTTTCGAATCACTTCATAGTTAGAAGTTATCTTGGGCTCCAAATATAGTGTTGTTTGCCGAGGCTTCTGTTGTATGACCATCATCTGTGATGGTAATTGATAAGATGGTTGTGGTGTAGGAGTGGGTTGAGCTTGGGGTGTGAAGGACATTGTTGCTACAGCTTGGAAGGTTGGTTGAGTCTGATAGGGTGAAACCTGCTGATGGTACAATGTTTGCTGTTGAAAATGAGATTGTTGGGTATACGGGGTGGGTGCTTGGGTGGGAAGAGCGGGTGAGGAGTACTGGTACTGTGTGTAAGGACTTGTAGGGGGCACTAATTGAGCTTCTGTTTGGGTTTGTGGAGGGATGAACTGGCTGAATTCAGTTTGAGGAGCTGTTCTTGGTCGCTCGATGCCATGCTGGCTTTCTATTCGACTTGGTCTGGTGCTACTGACTTCGCTGTCAGACATGTAATCCCGATCCTCAGCTACCCCCTGCAGGTAGGCACGCTCTCTCTTTTCTCTCTCCTTCAACAATGCTTCTTTCCTCCGGTTAATTCCCATCTCCAGATACCGTAGCTTGGCATCAATCTCCTTTTCTTCTTCATCAAGTTCTGCTTGCTTCTTTCTAAGCTTGGCAGACTCCCTTTCTACCAGGTCAAGCTCTCGGTCTATGTCCTGGAGAATCTTGGCTCGAGCCATGGTATTGGTTCTGCACATCCTTCTCCTAGAAGCAGTGCCCATTGTGCTGTAAGTTGACTGTGTTCCCGTGGATGCCTCCTCGGGAGGGGGATTTGGCAGTGTTCTCTTCACTTTTTTCTGGGTACCAGAGGCTGTCATGGTTTGAGAACCTTTAGTCTACAATCAAGTAAACAAAATATTTACCTTATTATCAAAAAGAAAGTAAAGACCAAAATCAAATGCAAAACTTACACTCGAATAACTGAGTTCACATACATTGCCATATCGTAGCACAATAAAATAAAAAATTCACCCATGTTTCAAAAGTTAATAACAAATAAAAGCAAATGAAGTATTTTGAAAAGTAGTTGTTTATAATCATAATGTCTGTATTCCTTGAGAGGAATTATTGAACTCATATATTTATGTGAGCTTACATTTTAGTTTTGCTCTTAGAAGAATTCTGTACACTCACTTTCAATCCAAGTTAATAAAATAAGATTATTTACTTAGTCTATGCTCATTGTAAGTGTATTGCTCACTTGAAATGCAATACCCATTTTTTTTTGTTTACAGATTTTTGTCTAACTTGTTTGTTGTACCTACCTTGCCATTTCCAGTTTTTCAAGGATTATTTGAATTCACATGCTCTTTAAATATTATTATTCCTTAGCAACTCTATTTTATTCTGAGTGTTTTATCAACTCTGTAAGAGTGGAGATAATTTACTGTAATAAAAGTTTATTGGAGCCAGTTTCAGTCAGGTAAAGCAATGGCTGGTAGCTCATGAAGTACTTTTTTGTTTTATTAATTTGCCATAAACTTGCCTTCTAAGGGACGCAAGTCTCGAGATTCATAAAATCAGAATAGGCATAAACACGAAAGATCATTGTATAGTTACAGAACACTGAAGTTTTCAAAGCTCTCTGTGTACAGTAGCATGCTCAAGTTGGAGCTTATTCTCCTCCAGTCTCATCCACGTTCTACAGAAGATGCTCTTTTCTTTTCTCTTCAGCAATCCAAAGGCATCATTCCTCCCTAACCTTTCAAGCATCACATAAACATAACAAAAAATGCCTGTATGGGTTTTGGAAATAAAATTAAATGTTCTTATTATTTAATATTATAGTAATAATAAATTGGTCCTTATTAATTAGATAACATTTGTCTAAGTTCCTGGGTTTTTTTCCTTTAAACGTCACTTCTTAATCTACTTCCTTCATGTTTCTGACCTGCTCTCCTATACAGATTTTAAGAGATATTAAGACACATTTCTGAAGCAGCTATTGCACACATTATAATTCTTACCCCATCCTGTCCATTTTATAGATTATGCACAATTAAGTCAGGGATTTGTTAGGAGTGTCAAATGAGATAGCTGTTTTAACACTGTATATACCAATTAACTATTACTTAAAAAATACTATTTCTAGAAAGAAGACCCGGAATAAGATGATCAATCCTCACTTAGAAAGACAAATGGGATGGACAGGGAAACTAGAGAAAATGAGTAACAGGACAGAAGCCTACCGCAGAGTGCCTCTGAAAGACTCTACCTAGCAGTGTATCAAAGCAGATGCAGAGACTCATAACCAAACCTTCAGCAGAGTGCAGGGAATCATATGAAAGAAGGGGGAGTTAGTATGACCTAGAGAGGACAGGAGCTCCAAAAGGACAAAATATATCTGGACACGAGGCCCTCTATGAGACTGTTTCTCCAACCAAGGACCATGTATGAATATAACCTACAACCCCTGCTCGGATGTAGGCCATGGTAGCTCAGTATTCAAGTGGGTTTTCCCAGTAAGGAAAACAGGAACTATTTCTGACATGAACTCAGTGACTGAACCCTTTACCTCCCCCCCCCCCCACAAAGGAGGAACAGTCTTGCTAGGCCACAGGGTTGGCAGCCAGTCCTGAAGATACCTGGTAAGCTAGGGTCATATGGAAGGGGAGGAGGACATCCTATTAGCAGTGGACTTAGAAAGGGGCAGGGAGGAGATGAGGCAGGGAGAGTGGGATTAGGAGGGAAGGAAGGAGGGGACTATGGCTAGGATACAACGTAAATAACCTATGATTAATATAAAAAATAAAAATTAAAAAAATACTATTTCTGCAGATTTTTGTAATTTCAGGATACATTTATATTTAATATATTTTAAAGACTGTTAAGTTATCAAAGAATGCTTCACTGTTCTTTACCTAGTCTACTAAACTGGTTATTCATTTGGAAACTTGCTAAAGTGTTAGTTTGAGGCAGGGTATGCAATGAGTGAAACTGTATTCTCTCAGCCAAAGTATAATGGTAAATTATGGTACTTTTTTGAAAGATTTGTTTTATGTTCCTGTTTGAGTGCTTATATGTATGTGTACTATGTACATGCCTGGTACCCCACGGGGGGCAAAAGTGATTACCAGAGCTCCTAGAAGTGAAGTTGGGTTTTGATAATTGAAAAGATGTTCTGATCCCTTCCTAAATGACAAGAAGCTGTCTCTGTTCCTTTACTGCACAGAATTTTGTTTTGATCTTCAAATTAGGTATCCAAAACTTTCTGGGGTAAAATATTACTGACAATGAAAACAATGAAACAAACTATATTTTAAAGTATGTTTGATCATGTATTCATTTAATGTAACTATTATGATTTCAGAAAAAAAGGAAAGTATGATCATGATGGAGATAACTGTCACGACAAAGAAAAAGCAATTTAACATTTACTTTCTAGGTTTAGAATTCTAAAAAGTAATTGTTCTAGGTTATCTCCATGAATAGTCCTCGGTTGGAGTATGAGTCTCTGGGAAGTTCCCTGTGTTCAAATTTTCTTGTTCTGTTGCTCTCCTTGTGGAGCTCCTGTCCTCTCCAGCTCTTACTATTTCCCACTTCTTACATAAAATTCCATGCAGAAAGGGGAGGGAGGTGGGATCAGGAGGGGAGGAGGGAGGGGCTTATGGGGGGATACAAAATGAATAAAGTGTAATTAATAAAAAATAAAAAAGTTAAAAAAATAAAAAAGTAATTGTTATAAAATTTAGTAAAACAAGACATCTTTCAATCAAGTCCACTCATTAATTACCTAATTAATTAAGTCCTTTGTGGAGAACTCGTTATCAATGTGCTGACACTGACCTAAATGCAATGACTGTTAGGGCAGCACTTGTTCTTTTATCCATTAGAATACTGAGATATAAGTTGTATCTTAAAAAGCTTCATGAAGACTTTGAAAAATATGAGTATATTTTTTTCTTCAAGATAGTTAACAATGAATCTAATGCCCTAATTCCAGGATGGTATATTGTCCTAATATGTCAGATAGTATGAGACTAAAATAGGAAAAAATATGCCTTACAGGTTAAGAGTTCTGTTTGTAGCTAAGAGTACATTTCTGTTTGTGCTATTTGTTTGACCAGTCTTCACTACAAGTGCTTAATCTACATGTGTGGGAGGTACATTAGCAGGAAATACATCAAGATTTATGCTGAGTCCTGATGGATCTGATAAGAACTGTGGTGAATTGTGGCTTTTGTCTTTTTCATCTCAGCAAAGCATGATTCAGGGCTATCTTCTGGGATCCCAGCAATGGACTTGGCCGGAGCCCATCTATCTGACCAGTATTTAATTATGTACAGCTTGCTACATATTTAGCTTTAAATTGTGGTAGTGTTCTTTTTCTTGACAGGTGGGAATAACAATAGCAAGAATCTTGATGTAGGAGGAGATTGAGTCATATTCTGAATGTATTAGATTAGGGAAGGCCAGTAGAGAAGACTTTACTGTCTAACAAAGAATAACAAAGTTTTATTTTTCTGGAACACTTTCTTATACACTGGTTTTATATGTCTGAGTTGGAGTTACAACGTCTGCCTTGTAGACAGACAAGAGATCAATGGATCAGTCAATATTTGTTCAGTTTGAATTTTTTTTTTATGTGTATGGACATTTTACGTATGTTTATGAACCACGGTGTGTGCTTGGTGCCTGCAGTGGCCAGAGAGGGTGATGGATGCCCTGGAACTAGAGTTATTCAGTTGTGAGCCATTAGGAGGGTGTTGGGACTCAAACCCAGATCCTCTGGAAGAACAGCCAGTACTCTTAACCTCTGAGCTACCTCTCCAGCCCCTCAGTTTGCATTTCTTAAACAAAAGATAGAATTATCTTTCTTGAATGTAACTACTTCCAGTGTATAATCTGGAAAGAACTATTTGTCATTTCTATATATAGCCTTGATAATGACCTCTTAAGCTTTTCACCACTGTTATTTATTTATTTATTTATTTTAGAGAACAATGTCATCACTGATTACATTTAAATTGTTGGGAGAACAAAATGTAAATCATATAGAAAAGTTACAGTGAGAATGAAAAGGTGATGTCATCTTGAAAAATAGAAATCTCTAACCATGCAAGTGAAAGACCTATTTGACAAGAACTTCAAGTCTTTGAAGAAAGAAACTGAAGAAGATATCAGAAGTTGGAAAGATTTCTCATGCTCATGGATTGGTAAGATTATCAAAGAAGCCAGAAATATACAATTGAATTTAAAAAAAAAAGCATTATCAACAAATGGTGCTGGTCTAACTGGATATCTGCATGTAGAAGAATACAAACAGATCCATGCATATCATCCTACATAAACCTCAAGTCTAAGTGGACCAGAGACCTCAACATAAACCCAGATACACTTAATCTGATAGAAGAGAAAGTGGAGAATACTACTGAGCACAGTGGCATAGGAAAAATTTTGAACAGAAGACTAATAGTGCAGGAACTAAAACTGTCAATAAATGATATCTCATGAAGCTAACAAGCTTCTGTGAGGCAAAGGACACTGTCAACAATACAAAATAATCTACATATTAGGAAGAGATTTTCACCAACTTCACATCTGATAACAGGCTAATTTCCAAAAAAAAAAAAAAAAAGGAATGGAGGAGTAGGTGGAGGAGAGAGAAGAAGGAAGGCTTGGGGGAGAGGAGAAAAAAGGAGGAGGACTAGATGGGTACCCACCCATCGTGGAGAGTATGAGGGAGGGAAACTTGTGGTTGGGATATGATATATAAGAGAAGAATCAAAAAGGAAAGAAGGAAAGGAAGGAAGGGTGAAAAGAAAGAAAATAGACAAAGCTGTAAACTCCAAACCACGAAGGGTACAAAATGATGTAGATGGCAGCTTGGTAATAC